GATTGAGATTGGCTTGAAAAGGACTCATGACTTTAATGTTAGGTTCTGATTACTTTTATGTGTTTTTTTGGTAAATTATTTATTGAATTTCAACTGGCATGAAGATTGAAGAGGTCTGCATGCTTTTCATGGCACAATAATAAAAAGCTGATTTGTTTTTTCTTTTTGGCATATTGGTGCTGTATGTAATTATGTACCTTTTGAAGGTTCAAGCTTTTTTCTTAAACTCATTACGGCTTGTGTTAGGTCTTCTCAAAACCCTCCCGGACTCAGTCGATCGGTCGCTGGTTCTTCGTCATACTCCAATTTCTTCGTATTCTTATACGCCGCTTTAGGGTAAGAATCAAATTTTCTGTTTGATTTGCTATTTTGTGTTTTTTGCTTTTAGAGTGACTTTAATTTTTGATAGGCGCCAGCCGCAACATCAGCATCAGATGGAAAGGAATTAACTCCTGAACAATTGGAAAGGAAAAAGAAAAAGGAGAAAAAGGTTTGATTGAACACCATATTTTTTATTTAGTTTTGTTGTGATGGATAATTCTTCACAATGAACCGTTGCAATTCGACATTGCAACAATAATTTTCGTGATATTCAAGTATGTAGATTCTAAACTAGGTTTGAAGTAGTTGATTGATTGATTCAAGACATTCTAAGATAGATATTGCCGATGTTGTTTGAATGGGGACGGATTTAAGAAAGAAGAAAAACTTTTGAAACTTGTGGTCTAAAGTAAGTCATAGAGATTAGGTTACAAATAGGTAAATTGGGAAGTTAAAAGTTAAAATTTAGTGATAAATTGTGACAGACGGAGTAATATTTAACATCTTTTAGTGCTTTCAATATGTGTTTACTGGGGCTTACACCTTACTAAGTGGTACATTTGTGTTTATTGGATGTGATAGGCCAAAGAGAAAAAATTGAAAAAACTCAAGGCTGCACAAAAAGCGGAATTAGCAGCAAAACAGATAAAAAAAACTACTCCTACTACTTTTATTTATTTGTGTATTTCATAAATATTTATCTTCTTAGCTATCTCTGTTATGCCATATATTAGTTTTGAAGGAAAAGAAATTACGGAACTCTTGGTGCATCTATTACAAGAGGTGATAAATTAAAATTATGAAAGTTGTTTTTGGTCTTATCTAATTTTTGCTTCTCTGACATGGTTTTGTCTGCTTTAAGGCACAAGCGGTCTCCAATGTGTCCAAGACGGCTAAGAAGAAGACCTCAAAAAGGGAAGGTGAAGAAACGGAAAATCCTACGGATTATGTTGAACCAGAAACACCTCTGGGGGAGAAGAAACAGCTCTCCGTAAAATGGCAGACTTATAATCCAAGTGCTGTAGAGAAATCGTGAGTTTGAAATTCGTTTTCACCTTTACTTGCTAATTATACTTATTTAAAAAACAATGTTTATTCAGAAAAGATATTTCTCTTGTTAGCACACTATTATGATTCTTTATTCTAAACTGAATAGGTGGTATGCATGGTGGGAAAAGTCCAATTTCTTCACTGCAGACCCAAACATCTCTAAACCTGCTTTTGTGATGGTAAGTTTACCGTCGAATGAATATCTAGGACATATAGGAACTATGTTTACTATGAGTTAGGAGATAGTTTATAAGGCGAAGCACATGTTGCTATCTCATAACATAGCAATTTTACTTACTGGGATGTTAAAGTTTGAATATGTGTACATCTAGACCCCTTAAATTTGTTATTGCTTTGGTGTCATAATCTGAGTTTTGGGAACTTTTTTCTACCCTCGTTCTCATGGATAGCAGAAGTGCCCTAAACAAAAAGAGGAAGGGAAGGTTCAGTTGCTCATTTTCCTTGAGTATTCTCGGACAGTGTTGTCAATTTCAATCTCTCATTTCTCTAGGATTTTTATGGGGAGGATGTTATTATTTCAATTAGAGGGAAATTTATTTACTTTATTTTATTTTATTAAGACAGACTGGTACCAGGTGTGTGCTCTAGTTTCATAGAGCAACAGAAACAAATGTTAGACTTCACATATTCCACAGTGAGCTAATAAAGTCAAACATGGCAGTCAAAATCATTTACAACAGCCATTTTGTTCCAACATAAAAAGCAAAACAGTACATTTGAGCTTAAGACTAAGTATATAATCCTTTTGGTCTTTAAACATTCTGGAGTTGCTTTTTCTCCAGATTACCCACCAAAGCTCTGCCTGGATGGAATTTCATGTCATCAAGGAGAGACTCCCTTTTACTTACTTACAGTGAATGGCTGAATGCTCATATAGGCCCAGAAATTTAAAAAATGAAAAATCTGTTAGAACATGCGCAACAGAAGCAAGCATACAAACCAGGCATCAAATACATGTAAACTAGATAACATAATAATAACGAGATTAGAAACACTGACCTCTTGAAGTAGTTGCACAAACCTTCCAAACAGCAAGAATCCAGGGCTGCAGTCTTCTGCTATTTGCCTAGTAAAACCTTGGACGATTTTGCTATTTGGTGGGCAAGAACAATACAACTAACTGGTAAGTAATTAGGTGAAACTAGTCTTCCTTTAATAGACCCGAAATTAAGCCACAATAGGGCTCAAAAAACGTGTAGGATTCTACAAGTAGAATCATACTCTAACTCAAAAGGAAAACTTTTCTCCCAAGCTACTTTTTACCCAAGTCTGTCCAGATTTTTACTAGGTATAGCAGGGACCACAGAAATAATAAGAGGCTACTAATTATAGTATTAATTCGAAATTAGCATGAATTAATTCTTACTATAATTAATTGCAATTTATTCCACTAAAAAACTGCAATTGAACTCCTCAATATGAATTTCGAAAATTCATTAACACTTATTTTAACTCCCCATGTTAAGATTTCAAATACCAGTTAATTAAATTAAATTACTAAAAATTTAATTCAATTAACTAATTAAATCCTTTATAATTCCGCTTAAACTATTTCATGTGACGGATACAAAATCCACCGGCCGGGTTTTCACATGAAAACTTATAAGCTTACATAAAGGGGTATCATCAAACCCAAAACCGAGTCATAGATTCTATCAACTAATTATTATTCACAAATGTTATTCGTTATTGTCCAATCTATTAGGCATATACTAACTCTAAATAGAGTCGTACCTTTTGATAAATCAAAACAATAAACAAATTACATTGATCATAATAATTATATCAAGATTAGGAGTATAAGCTCATTTAATGAATTAGAGAAAATATTTTATATATTCAGTACAAAAACATCTTTTCTCTACTTGGTCCGTTCAATATACACTGAGTATACTAGCACAAGAAGTTGGAGTAAAATTACTCCCATAATCAAGACAAATTATACAACAATCTTGTGCTACAATCATCAAGATATTTTGTCCCACAATATTTTTGATTGTGAACATAGTTTATTAATTATGAGAACCAACAATTTAATCTTCTGTGCATGAGCTAAGACTCCATACACTAAATTGTCTACTACATAACTAAAAGGACATACATGTAACAAATGATCTATTTAAAATAGTACTTTATTGAATTAAATAAATTAAATAAACAATTATTCTATAAAGAATAAAATATAATACTATGTTCAAACCGCATGGTTAATAGTATATCCCAACAAAATCTATACAGAGTATGATAAAGATGGACTTTACTGGTATCTTTTCATTTGAGACAATCACTTGGTAAATTGTGTTGCTCAATAATTCGGGAGGGAATTAAGCTGAGATGAAAGTCTTGCTTGTTACTGTGTACCTGGTATAGCTTGGACTCCTTTATCCTGAGCTGCTTACCTCTTTGTTTAAATGCAGGTCTTGCCCCCCCCAAATGTGACTGGTGCTCTCCATATAGGGCATGCACTGACTGCTTCCATCGAGGTATCAGAATCACCGATCGTAGTACCGAGGTTCATCTATTTATACGGATTTTATATTTTACCTTTGTTTCCAGGACACAATTAGTCGTTGGCGGAGAATGTCTGGATACAATACCTTGTGGATCCCAGGGATGGATCATGCTGGGATAGCGACCCAGGTGTGTCAAACATGTCAAATCATGAGTTTAACCAGTTTTCATGTTTGTTTGCATTTGCAGAGTATATGGAACTATGTGAGATAGGACTTCTGTTAGATTTTGTGTTATGAGGGGCATGATGTTCAGACAGATACACTTATTAAAAAAAAAAAAAAATATTATACAGATGTATGTGGAGTTCTTTTTTAGGTTTTGCTAACTGCTGTCACTCAAGAAGAATATTCTATATATACTGCTTTGGTGCCTGGAACAGAACTCGTTCAGAGTTTGAACATGATATGCAAATTGCTAGAGACAGGCTTTTTGGATCATATGTCAATATTCAGAAAAGAAAGATGGACTAAAGTAATAATATTTTTCTTAAATTAGAATGCACCAGTCACGTTCGGGGAAAAAATCTCAACATCATATTCATGTAGAAGAAAAACAAAAGAAGAAGTGTTTCAGTATGGTCTTTACGGAATGACAATTACTTGGATACATTCATATCGCCACAACTTGAATATCAAAGTTACTTGGAGAGGAGTTGAGATTACATTTTCATCAAGATGAATCAGAGTCAAAGACTAAATAGCTACTAAAAGTTAAAACAATAAGATAATATTTAGGTCAGTAAGTTTAGTGTTCCTAAACCTCTACAATATTGTTTCTCGAAGATTTGTTAGGGGGTTAGATCGTGGTATAGCAGGGTGTTAATTTAATCCACTTATTTTTTACTTAGAGAAAATGCATAAAGACCCCATTAAACTTGTTCGGAAAAATCATTTACATATCTTAAATTTACGGGTGTCCTAACACCCCACTATTCTTATCTAGACTAAATTTAATACCTTCTTCAAAATACCTAACGAGTCTTATGGTGGGCTGTGTTTAACACGCGCCATGTATTAAATACTGCACTATTTCGTTTTTTTTTATTTTACTTTTTCCACTCTTTTTTTCTTTTCATCTTCTCCACCTTCCTTCATCATTATTCTTGCAGCCCGCAACCATGGAAGGCAGTCACAACCATAACTTTCCTTAAACCCATAAACTTTGTCTCTGAAAAATCAAAACCACCTCCCCCTACCACTTCACTTTCAAACCTCTAATTTGACAACTTTTCCTTCACATCAATCTCACACACCCAGATCGAAGAGAAAAGGAGAGAAAATTCCTTGTACGAAAAATGGTATTGGCAAATATCAAGTTCTCCAATCAAGTATTAAAATTATTCCAACCTAAATCCATGACCCAATTGCTTAAGAGAACTTATGTTTCTATCAAATCGAGGAGATTAAAGGGAGAAAATATGAGCAATGAAATGGAGTTTGTAAAGCTAGGTGAATATGGCGGAGGAAAAAGAAGAGTGAGAATAGAGATTCAACAAGAAAAACAGAGAAGCAAAAAATAAAACATGACTAGTTTCAAAGCATGGGGAGGAAGAGGATGGCACGAGATGATAATGGCAGGCCAGTGGAGAACCATGGTTCTGTTAAAATGAAGAAAGAGAAACGAAAAAGAAAAGAAAAATGAATTAGTAAAGAGAAAAAATTAGTATTAAGTTTAATTAGTTAGATTATCCAATAGGAAAGTGACACCTGGACAATTAAATTAATTTTAAGCTGTTTTTTGTGTCTCACGCGCATCTAGGAAATGAACTGCATTTTTCATGCCAGGTCATCACTCAATGGGGTATTAAATTCTTTTAAGATTAGAATAAGGGGGTAAAAGATTGCCCGTAATATTTAGGTGTGTAAACGATTTTTCCTGACAAGTTTAATGGGTACTTTATACATTTTCTCTTTTACTTATAATAAAATGATCTTTTCTGCTATTTGCTTTCCTATCTACTATTCTCTAACCGTGCGTCGTGGATGCTGAATCTAGGTTGTTGTGGAGAAGAAGATCATGCGGGAGAGGAATCAGACTAGACATGATATTGGTCGGGAGAGCTTCATATCTGAAGTGAGTAAATACTATTAAGTGCTAACACCTTTTTAACGTCTTGAACTTATTTTGAGGTCTATCATTATTAGCTATTTATTCCCCTCAAAAAATGACTTTAATGGCTATAATTTCCTTCCAACTGTTGCCTTTTTCTGTTTGAAACAAGGTCTCTGCTGAAGAGTTAAATAAAGAAGCCAAGTACTAACTTTTAACAATTGATTGCGCCCATAGATTTATTAATTGTACTTGCTGAGCTTTTTTTAGGTCTGGAATTGGAAGAATGAGTGTGGGGGTACAATACTGAAGCAATTACGTCGCCTGGGTGCCTCACTTGATTGGTCTCGTGAGGTATGAATCGAGATTTTACTCTTTTCTCCGTCTGTCGAGAAAATCGTGAAGTTATTCTAGGTATACTTTACTTATTTATTTATTGCGCTCTAACACATGTTCTCCCAAATCAGTGCTTTACCATGGATGAGAAAAGGTCTAAGGCTGTTACGGAAGCATTTGTTAGGCTGGGCAATGAAGGTCTTATATACAGGTATGTAGCTCTTTTTCTTCCTCTGTCTGCCATTTCTTCTCATTATGTGCATGTGAATAGGATGTACCCATTTTCTCTGTCTACTATTCTCTAACCGTGCATGTGAATAGGATTCCTCTCTCTGCCATCTCTTCTCATTACTGCTATCTTCTTGCCTATGGATAGGATGTAACATTTTCTTGAGTGCGCAAGTTTCTTTAGTTCTGGCTCTATATTAACCTTTAGTTATCATCTATCAAGGGCTCCACGTATGGTGCATTGGGATTGTGTCTTGCGTACCGCAATCTCTGATATCGAGGTGAGCCAAGTCGTCCTTCAGTATCAAGTTTTAGATGGTGTAGCAAATACTTCTTATACACTGTAGAATCTACTTGCTTGTTGTAGGTTGAATATGCAGACATCAAGGAGAAGACATTTCTGAATGTTCCTGGATATGAAGAGCCTGTGGAGTTCGGGGTGCTGACATCATTTGCTTACCCCTTGGAAGGTGGCCTTGGTGAAATTGTTGTGGCGACCACCAGAATTGAAACTATGCTTGGTGATACTGCAATTGCTATACATCCTGAAGACAAAAGATACAGTCACCTTCATGGGAAATTTGCTATTCATCCATTCAATGAAAGAAAGCTTCCAATAGTTTGTGATGAAATACTAGTAGATATGAACTTCGGGACTGGTGCTGTTAAGGTACTTTATATCCTTATATTTTGAATGTGGAGAAACAATTCCTTGTATATCCAAATATCCATCATTGCTTATGGACCATTTCTCTGAATATCCTTGCAGATAACTCCAGCCCATGATCCTAATGATTTTGAGGTTGGACAGCGTCACAAACTTGAATTCATTAGTATTTTTACTGATGATGGGAAAATAAATAGGAATGCAGGTGCATACTTTGAAGGAATGCCTCGTTTCAAAGCTCGTGTCGCTGTGACTGAAGCTTTAAAGGAAAAGGTACCTTGATAACTTTTCTGTACTGTCTTAGCTAGAAATGAAATTTAAAACACTTGCATGCATGTATATATGGAAATTTAATTTGTTCTTATTTATGACAATTTGTGTGGTCTTGCATGTAAAAAATCCATGGACGTCTTCATCAAAAAATAAAAAAAGATCCATGGATGTGATATACCCACTAGCATCTGAAATATCCATGTTTGTACCCATGTCTATCCAGCATGAGTATGTCAAGGTATATGAAGAAATTGAAATATAATAGCCATAAAGGTTGGTCTATCTTTATATATTCTTTCTCTGTTTGAACCCATCATTCCATGTCCAGGAAAAGGTAAACAAATTGTTCTCAGGCATGTGTTAGCATAAATGAAAGAGTATTTCGACAATGTAAGAAGTGTGTTGTACATGTTCTAAAAAAAATATATTCTATTGGGCATTGTGTTTATGACCATTCTGTAAAATTCATGGTTCAAATTTGATGGGTGCCTAATATACAAGTACCCTTCAAATAGAATTTCCAATTTGCTATGTGTGTGTCTGTCTGCACACAAACACACAAATACATGTGCTATATATAGTATAGCCTAGGCCAACATACTTAAGATGATTTATTATAAAAAAATCTTGTATTAATTATTATTAAAGTATCATCGAAATATTGGCTTTTCATATATTTTCATATACTGTAGATGATTTTTTTATGTTATGCGTTTATCAAATATGAAAAATACTAGTAAGTCTAAGTGCGTAAAAAACTTGAGATGTCCCAAAACAGAAAATGTCATATGTATCAGGGCGGAGGCTATGATTCCCTATTACAACCACTACACTCAGAACTAGGGAAAATAAGACTTAAATGGCATGAGCTGCATTCAGCTTATTAACGAAAACAAGTTATGCCGTAGGGTCTCAGTAGCAGAGGATCTATTAGCAGATCTCCAGAAGCCTTGGTAGCGGTTCTCCATCTTTGAACTTCCGGTTCAATGAGTGTCCAGGTCTTGCTGTTTGCGTTTCCTTTTCGAAACTTTTTTTACCACGAGCATATAACACACGAGTCAAATTAACACCTTATACTTCAGACCTAGTAGACTCCATAACATAAAGTGAGATGGATTTTGAGTATTTTATTACTTGGAATTGGGTGAAACTACATTCTGTTCCAACTTGTTCCTTTTGGTATGTAACATCATGTTTGACTTTTAGCTTTATTAGTTCTTGAGACTTTTGAAGTGTGCTTAAGTTTGTTACCTATGGAACTATGTTATGTAAAATGGGGCATAGGGCTTTCTATGAGAGACTTAGTTGAGTAGAATGTGGCTAAGATGTGATGTCTGGTTCATGTTACAGGGTCTCTACAGGGGTGCTAAGGATAATGAGATGCACCTTGGGATTTGTTCAAGAAGCAATTGTTAGGACCGAAAAACTAGGTGTCATGCGGAAGCTAGCAAAACAAACCTTGAACGACGATAAATCATACAACAAAGGAGAAATATACCAAAAGAGACACAAACATTTAACGTGGTTCGGTCAACTAACCTACGTCCACCGCGAAGATGAGCAATCCACTATATAAAAAGAGAGTACAAAATATCGAGAGAACAACCCCACGAAGAGGCAAACACAAGTGACACACTAACACTTGTCCCATAAAGTTCTCCTCCTAAACACGACTCTCAAGCCCCTATGGCTACATTGTGAATGCTACTGAATGAGAATGAAGGATCCTCAATTTATAGAAGTCCAAACCTTTTGCTACAAGAAAAAGGACTAGCCAAGTATAGAAGAATTATAATTTCCTTCTACAAAAAGGAAAACTCAATTAAGGTAATTATATTGCCCTTTCCTTCAACAAATAGGAAAACCAAATATGGTAAGAAAATTATGGCAAACACCTAACAATTCTCCCCCTTAGCCGGAATTTTCTGACAAAATAAACTTGATCCACCTTCTTCACATAGCCTTCAACAGGTCGGATCTCCAAATCTCCACCATTGTCAGTACGAATACATTTTAATTTCTTCCCCGTCTGTCTCTCAGCTAAGGCATGAAATTCCTTAAACACGCTAAGTGCTTGATCTTTAGATTTCAAAGGATACACCCAGAGCTTACGAGAATGATCATCAATGAAGGTCACAAAGTAAAGTGTACCACCTTTTGACTTTACTTTAAAGGGACCACACAAATCAGAGTGTACTAGCTCCAATAAATCGGGCTTTCTTGAGGGAGGATGACTATGAAAGGAAACCTTTTTCTGTTTGCCAGCTAAACAATGGATACACCTTTTCAGCTTTGCTTGTTTCACTCCAGAAAGCAAACTTTTCTTAGCCAAACACGTAATCCCCCTCTCGCTCATATGACTCAGTCTTCGGTGCCACAATTNCTTTTATCTCATCATCAAAATTAACTCCCATTCCAGATAGCTGATCAAGGACGCCCTGAAAATCATTTATGTGATCAAGGATAGGGCTGCCTTCCTTGTATTTAAAGGTCATCAATTGCTTTAGCAGAAATAATTTATTGTTCCCGGTTTTTGAAGCATAAAGAGTCTCTAGCTTTTCCCACAATGATCTCGCATATATCTCGTTCACAATATGGTTGCGAACATTATCTTCAACCCATTGTCGTATATATCCACATACTTGTTGGTGCTCGAAATCCCAATCTTCATCGGATATACTCTCGGGTTTATGAGCTGAAAAAACGGGTAAATGCATCTTCTTCACGAACAACAAGTCTTTCATCTTGCTTCTCATATTCGCCTCCATTCCGTAACAACCCGAATAATTAACCAAGGCTCTGATACCACTTGTTAGGACCGCAAAAGGTAGGTGTTATGCGGAAGCTAGCAAAGCAAACCTTGAGCGATGATAAATCATACAACAAAGGAGAAATATACCAAAAGAGACACAAACATTTAACGTGGTTCGGTCAACTGACCTATGTCCACCGCGGAGATGAGCAATCCACTATATAAAAAAGAGTACAAAATATCGAGAGAACAACCTCACGAAGAGGCAAACACAAGTGACACACTAACACTTGTCCCATAAAGTTCTCCCCCTAAACACGACTCTCAAGCCCCTATGGCTACATTGTGAATGCTACTGAATGAGAAGGAAGGACCCTCAATGTATAGAAGTCCAAACCTTTTCCTACAGGAAAAAGGACTAGCCAAGTATAGGAGAATTATAATTTTCTTCTACAAAAAGGAAAACTCAATTAAGGTAATTATATTGCCCTTTCTTTCAACAAATAGGAAAACCAAATATGTTAAGAAAATTATGGCAAACACCTAACAATTCAAGATGGTATGTTTAAATGGGAGAACCTGAGAATTATGATGAAGCCATGCAAGATACTCAAAGAGATCAGTGGATCGAAGATGAGATAAAGTCACTCCATGAGAATGACACATATGAGTTAGTGAAATTGCCGAAAGGTAAGAGAGCTTTATCTAACAAATGGATATTCAGAATAAAGCAAGATAACCATACCTCTGCGCCTAGATACAAGGCTAGGATAGTTGCTAAAGGTTTTGGCCAGAAGAAGGGAGTTGACTTTGATGAAATTTTCTCCCCTGTTGTGAAGATGTCTTCTATTCGTGTGGTTCTAGGCTTAGCTGCAAGTCTGAATTTAGAGGTTGAGCAGATGGATGTCAAGACTGTTTTTCTCCATGGTGATTTAGATGATGATATTTATATGGAGCAACCTGAGGGCTTTGTAACTAAGGGAAAAGAAAATTATGTCTGCAAATTGAAAGAGAGCCTGTATGGATTGAAAAGATGTCTCATATTCCTTACTCTTCTACCGTTGGTAGCTTGATGTATGCTATGGTTTGCACTAGACCAGATATTGCACATGTCGTTGGTACTGTTAGTAGATTCCTTTCTAATCCTGGAAAAGAACATTGGGATGTAGTAAAATGGATATTAAGGTATTGTCACACCTCCTTTTTCCGCCCCGTGAGGGGCGTAGGGGAACGTTCAGCCTCGCATCGACTGAAGCACAAGCTGGTCGATGCAGCAGCGACAGCAGCCGTAGGAGCTCGACAATGCAGTAGTGAAAGCAGCCATGGCGGACTCCTATTTTTTTGGAAGAGGAAATGAAACAGTGATGGTTGGAGGTGAAGAAAGCTGAAACAGTAGCAGCGACATATTGCAGCCAAATCAGTGGCACTCTTCATGGTCGCAGTTCGATTATCTGAAGAAACGGACGACGTAAGATGCAGATGAAGAAGCGGACGACGTAAGATGCAGATGAAGAAGCGGACGACGCAGCTGGAGCGAGGACACAGAAGCAGCTGGAATGGAGTAGCAACGACTGGTTGTTGACGACGAAGACGCAGCAGTGGAGACAATGAATGTCGAGCTCGATCTTGAAGGTGGTTGTTTGGTTTTAATGGAGGACGGGGAGGTCGTTTGGACGCGAGGGTGGTTGTGTCGTTTGGTGGTTTGAATGAAAAACGAAGGAGGAGGAGCAGAAGTTGGTCGTGAGGGGGAAGGGAAGTAGCGAGGGCAGCCATGGTTGGCTTGGGGTGTTTGGTATTTTGGAGAAGAAGAAGCCAAAAATGGGGGCGGATGTTTTTGGTCTTTTTAGGGTTTTTTGTCTTCTTTCCTTTTGTTTTGTTTTTGTGTTGGACAAAAATGAAGAAGGGGTATTGGGTCAATGAGTTAATGGGGCGGACCGGGTCGACCCGGTCTGAAGTGGACTGGGTCATGGAGAAGATTGGGCA